AAACACACACACACACACATATATAGATATATGTGTGTGTGTGTGTGTGTGGATTGCCAGGAAATTGAAAACTAATTATAACATATATGGAGATTAAAAGGCAGCAGAAAAATAATTAGAATATTTCCAAAAGTGATTTACAAACATGTTCTGCATAGGAAAATAAAAAAAGTAAGTTTATGTCCTCAGCCGCAAGTACAGTCTGGATGTGGCATCCGAATCTTTTGCATTGGAATCATCGATTGATATCCTTCTAAAAAATGCTCCAAGCGATTAGAATTTTGGCAGCTACAAAACCAACTGCTCTAAGTGACATAGCCACACGACTATTATGATCTACTAATATTTGTTTTATATTAATAGTCCAATATTGTTTGCTTGCAATGTGATGGTCGATATACATACCAATTGCAGTATGTTTCAGTAAGTGTCAAGTTAACTTACTAGAAAGTGCAGTGGTTGTGTGGCTAGTGTAAGAACATAAATCTGTTTCTTGATTATGAAAGTTGGAGACGCCACCTGCCTATGTGTACTAGAATTCATAAAGAACATTTTGCAGAAGTACCTTTTTAATATCTTTACGGTAACGTTTACACACAGACTGACGACATACCTATAAGATTGTCTCTAGGTTCTTTTGGATTATTTCAGAAAACTTTTAACAGTTTTAAAAAAAATCTATATAATATACTTATTTACTATATTCGTATTCTTTTTCTTTTTATGTGTCATGTCCTTTCATGACGTAGGCGATCATGGCTCTCCACCTCCCTCTATCCTTTGCAGCTCTCAACACGTTCCTTCCTTCTGCTTCCTCCCCCATACCACGTTCTGTCATCCACCTGCTCAAGCTCGCCAGGTATGTCACGCGCTGCTTTCTCTTGTCTCTCTTTCCCTCTCTTCGACCCGTGAATATTAGATTCTCCAGGCCCTCCTTCCTCATTATGTGTCCCAGAAACTTCAGATGTCTCTTGCTGATGTTAATTATAAGCCTTCACCTTGTTTTCAACCTCATCGTTGCTCACAAGCTCGCTCCATGACATCCCTAGCATCCTTCTGTAGAACCACATCTTCGTCGCCTCGAGTCTCTTCTTCATCTTTGAGGAAATCGTCCAGCATTCGCTGCCGTAAAGAAGAACAGATATCACGTAACAGCTCAGTATTCTTTTCTTTGTTACCAAAAAATCCTCCTGCCTCGCAATACTCCGCCCAGCTTTTGAAATGCGTCCTTGGCCATCCCAATACGTCTACGTATTTCAATGTCGCACTTACCGTCCTCTGTCAAGACGCATCCCATATATTTAAACTTCCGCGTTTGCTTGATTCGAGTGTTACCGACCTGCAATAGTCGAGATAAAAACAAAAGTTAAAAAAATCTAGCAGGATAATTTAAATCTACACTTAGTTAACATAACGTAAAATAATATTCCTTCGCTCAACGTTTTCGTTGGCTCGTTATTTTGTATTTTTTTTGGAATTATGTCGACAGTCCACGAGCAAATATTACTGTCTACACTATTACCAAAGTTTTCACTGATATAAAAAAGAGTTTCTAAACATGATCAACTCTACTAAAGTAATTTCTTTTTCTCTTTCGTTATTTTATAAACTATTTAGTAATTGTTCCCTTAAACATTGTCGTCGATAACAAGTAATATTAGTATTTTAGAAATTATAAGCGTAACAGGAATTCTTATATAAACCAATATATAAACATTATTAACTTATTCCACCATTGCCAGATACAGATTAACGATAAACAAGATGAAAAGTCAATTAAATACAAATCAACGGCACATAATAGTTAATGTTTTTAATAAATCCCTAAGAATTATCATTTACTACAAAACGTTTAAAAACATGTACCAGAATCATTACCAAAGACTATGAATCACAACAATCACCTTTCGGTAAAAACAATTTTATTTCTGAATTCTGGGTATTTTTTTAAACTTCTCCAAATCTAATAAAAATATAATTTATTCTTACATTGGTCACATAACCACCACACTCTTTAGTAGGTTAACTTGCTACTTATTGCAATTTCTACATATTATATCATAATATCACACATTTCCGAAATACATCTATTAACATAAGACAAATGTTAGTGCTTAATACTAAAATGCTATAAAATATTTACTGAGCGACACAAAATACTCAAAGTAAAATGTGCATTAAATACATCTTTCACTGCTGGGAATGGCATTTACAAATGGTTATGACGAATTTTATTATCCTCTTCTTCAAGTATTGTCAAGTTTGGCGATATCTAAAGGACTTCTTTATAAGAAAAAAAGTTCTAAACATAACTCATTAGTATGGAAAATATAAATTCCCTAAAATTCTAAAATGAAGTGAACAAATATAAATAGCGCTGACAGCATTAACGTACTTTTGTCCATTTCGTAGACTGTCGAATGCATACGAAGAAAGAAATTTGAGCTGTGTCGATTTTCTCTACAAAATCAATCCAGAAGTCCGACAACTTATACACTAACAAGAGTATAAGGTTAAACAGACTAATCTTGTCGATAGATTTTAATATAGTTTATATCTGCTGATAGTTGAGAACACCAAAATTTTATAACGGACACAGTGCAAAGAAAGACTCCAAATTATGGAGACCACTGTAATAAAAAATGCAGCCAAATTTGAATAAGATGTCTTTCTCCATAGGGGAGACATATATTGAAGTGTGTTAAAAGTACAAAAAAAAACGCAAACACACACGCATAAAAATTTCACTCTGACCGTTTCTGTGACGTCAACTTGAGTGAGTTGAAATTGATTCCATCTAACGTTTCAAATTGATTCAATCAAACGTGAGAACGGCGGAATTAAAAACTAGCTGCCTCACTACACATAGAACAATCCTTGAAAACGAATGGATTATCATTCGAAAGTACTCGGAAAGAAAATAATATTAAAAAAATTAATATGAATTTTGGCAAATTTCCAGATAAAACAATTTGAAGATTTAATAAAAGAATTGATAGACAGAACATGTCTATATTATTTAACAAAACATGTGTGCGAGAATTCTTGCTGCTAAAATACGCCTGTTATATATATATATATATATATATATATATATATATATATATATATATATATATATATATATATATATTACTACTATTACTAAAAATACCAACAATGATGGTGAGATCAAAAGATAACTTGCTAGCCGACCTAATACCTTAGAGAAGAGAAAAATCGCAAAAATGGACATAAAAAGACAAACGCCAACCTACGCAATAAATTAAAGTGCTTAACGCCTCGACGATCTAGACAGAAAAATGTATAACAATAATATATTTATATATATATATATATATATATATATATATATATATATATTTATATATATAACAATATGTTATGTATATGTATATGTTTGTATATCACATGTTCATGTATATGTATATCATATCTTTACAAATGTTTGTCATACGTATCTAAACACAGAACTATATCGCAAATATTGATCGTAAACATTTTAGCAACAGCTTAGTTTGACACAAGGTATGTACACATATGAGTAGAATTTGTTAAAATAGATATTTGTCATAAATTTCTGTAGTAATTATGAACATATTTTATATATTATATGTTTAAGCACACACATAAACACCCATAAAAATGTATGCATTGAAATATATCCGATGTGTGTAAAAACAGAGATACGCCTTGTCTATCACTGATATCGTAACACTCGGGCTTAATTTTTTTTATTAGAAAACAAAAGAAATAATATCAGTATATAATGAGACTTGTATTTAATTTAAAATTTAATCAGGTTTTCATAATGAATATCTAGGATTCTGAATATAAACATATATGCAGTTAACTGGATGAAAATATAGAAACAAAAGAACTTCAAATTAATTCGTTAGATCTCTAGAAGAAACCTATTCATACACTAATGGTTTAGCAATTAAATATATATATATATATATATATATATAATACGAAAATGTGTAAAAGGCGGTTATGATTTTACATCGAAAAACACTTGGTAACTGAGGGTTTTCACTAATATATATATATATATAAATATATATATATATATATATATATATATATATGGATAAACGATATATTATTTTTTATACATCAAGAACAACTTCAGGTAAATCTATGACAAATTGGAAATTTAAATTTGAAATTATCTGCGTCCCCATTCGCATGTGTAGTCACTTTTGTCCTGCGGAGTCCTAAAGATAGAAACGCGTCACTTAGGAAACTTTCCACTTTGTTTATATATATATATATATATATATATATATATATATATATATATATAGTGTATTATAACAGACAACGATTGACTATTATGTTTGATCATGAGCCGTTCTAAGCTTCATATAGTGGCTTAGTTTCGGTAGAAAATAAAGACAAAATCTTTGATGGTGAATATATCTGTTGTAATGAGCATATAACCATCCTGGTGATGGCTCGTGTGAGCAGAAAGCTTAGATCGAAAAAGTGCATAATAAAAAAAAAATTATATTCTCCCTCAAATGTCTTTATTTTCTCCCAAAACTAAAGCCACTCCACGACGCTTAGAATAGTTCGTGATCAAACGTAATTGACATTCGTTGTCTGTTATATTAAACAGTATATGTTTGATATATTGATTTGTATACCATCTTCTCTACATATCTATGTCTGCGCGTGCGCTCGTGTGTTTGTGTATGTGTAAACTGAAAGAGGATGATAGTAATCGCCAAGATTATGCGCAATATCCGTAACCAATTCAAATTTCAGTCGTGGCTCTTAATGTTCACTTTGTATTAATGTTTCTAAACGTACTAAATGACATTCTTTCCCCGATGATCCAAAATCTCTTATATTCTTTCCCTGTTTTAAATTGTCGTACATTCCTTTTCTTTTCTTTTTTTCACTATTATTCCAATGAACGTTCTCCGCAATTCGTCCATTCGCAAAAGTCCCACGACATTTCATTTGAAATACCAGCCCTTTGAGACAAGTAACTAAGGAGAAGTATTAATCTCTCTCTCTCTCTCTCTCTCTCTCTCTCTCTCTCTCTCTCTCTCAAGATAGATAGATAGATAGATAGATAGATAGATAGATAGATAGATAATCCCTATTTTATCACATTCTAGCTTTAAGAAATGGCTTGTCAAATTAAAGTTGATTGACGGTAAAGAGACAAATGCATGTCTTTAATATGGAAGACAGCTCTCCCTTAACTAGTTCTATTGTCCATACATTAAAAGCAAAAAGTCCTGAACTCAATCATTAGCCTTGATAGAGGTCAATATTAATAATGACAACAAAAACAACGCAGAGATTTCATTTTATATTTGTGAATAATTTTACAAGGTACATATATCTTATTGTTAAAGGTAATAATTGGTTGGTGTCAGACCAGATGAATAACGCAGGTTGGGTAGAACAGACTAAGCAAGTCCATTTTTCTTTTTCTTTTCTGTGTTATTTTTACAGTGTGTGCCCTTGACTTTTCATGCAGGAACATTTTCCCTTCAGCCTAGTGTAATCAGGCACTGCTACGCAAAAAACCAAGGTTTTATTAATGTATTTGAAATTCATTCTTCACTGCCACGAATGATTAATAATTAAGATGAAGTATTCGTCATTACAACTGGTTCACCAAAAACAGAATTCGTTTATGACTCAACGTAATATGTAATGGAAAGGACGAAAACTTCTCCGTTCGATCGACTTCAGGAGTTTATTAATAGATAGATAGATAGATGGATAGATAGATAAAGAACGGACTGATATATATATATATATATATATATATATATATATATATATATATAGAGAGAGAGAGAGAGAGAATTGAGTGAGATGGGTAGATCATAGGAACTGACCAATGACCAAATACTGCGTTCGTTATTTCAAATACAGAATCAAATTTCATATTCTATTATAACATTAGTGGGTTTCTCATTGAACAGAAATATATTTTCTTTGATTCTCTATTAAAATTTTCCTTGTTAATACGTACAGGAATATACATACATATACATACATACATTCATACATACACACACATACATACAAAGGACATATATATATATATATATATATATATATATATATATATATATATGCAGACACACAAACATACACATACACACACACACACACACACACATATATATATATATATATATATATATATATATCTGCATGCGTATATGCGTGAATAGATAAATATAGATAGATAGATAGATAATGAATGAATAGATAGATAGATAGAAAGATAGATGAATAGATAGATAAAACTGAAAGAAAGAAAGAAAGAAAGAAAGAAAATAAAGAAAGAAAGAAAGAAAATAAAGAAAAAAGAAAGAAAGAAAGAAAGAAAGAAAGAAATGTCTGCTTAACATAAGGTAATATCACAGACTATTGCTGACGCGCTGTTCGATTCAGAGTACCTTATATTTGCGGCATATAACTAGAATAAATCAAGCATAGTTATGAGTAGATGTGTGTTTACGCATGAACGTATATGTATGTTATACATTTATCTATGGCGTGATATATAGGAGACTTTATCTCCTTCACATTTTTACTGAAACTGAGAATTAAACAGATTTTTTTTCACCGGTACAATCTTTGATGATGCTATTGAGCTGAGCACTATTATTTGTCCGTAGTTATTCCTACCAAAATTCATCACCCGTTTTGTGTGTGTGTGTTTTAAAAATTCGCTTCTAACTTTTATATAAATCTTTTATGCATAATTTATGAAGGTCTTATTCCAGAAAATTGGTACAAATGAACAGTCACAAAAAAAAGAATCGAGAAAAAATATTTAATTTAGGATAATAGATCTAAAAATATTAATCACATGAGATAATCAGATAAACAGAGAATCATGAATCTTTAGAACATAACACTTGATTTATCTCGACCCCCCCCACCCTCCCTCAATATCTGATTTCCATCTACTTTACCTGATTTAGCACCCATCTGATTAAACCTCATAAAATCTGGTTTCAACCTTTCACCAACTTTTTATTTGATGTCGGTGTGCCTGCAAGTAGGTCTTTATATTATCTGTCTTCTTGTATGAAAAGGTAAAGTTGATATAATTTTTGTTACTCTGTAAAACGAAAACACCGTTCGTTACTTTGTGTCGCAAAGTTCTCACTTGGTATAAACTTTTGGAGAAATTCTTAGCCCACTACTTGATTCCTCCATAGATTTTCAACGCCAAAGCATTCACAAGTAGAATCTATTCTACTATTCTATTAAGTAGAAGGAAACATATGGACGATAAAGGCCGGCTTCTACCTGACCTCACAGCTGATTCATAAAAAGTAAGTACTTTACTGAATGAGATTAAAAAAAGGAGAGTTAAGAGACAGCAAGAAGGGAGAGTAATGAAGCCTGGAAGGGAGTACAAGAAAGATACGTCAAAGTGAACAACTACTCCTCGAGCGTTGGCTGGTGTCATTCAGCAGCGTACAGAGTTCGATAGAGTAGCAGCCGCACTAGTTGTTATCGTCGTAGTGAAAACAAGATGTTGTTGTACTGCCGACTCGTATCTGCTTTATTTCCTTAGCCATGGGCAAATGCATGACGAAGCAATGATTCGTTAAGAAGACACAAACATGTATGAACGCACGCGCACACACACAAACACACATTACACTTTCGTACACACAAAACAGCAACACACCTACAAACGCATAAATACAACATCATTCGAACTATTTCTTGTTTCTATATTTCTTTGCTTTCTTTCTTTTTTTTTTTTTGAACTTTTTTTATTTTAATTTCCGTTTCTTTCTTCTTCAGTTTAATTATATAACTTCACACGTTGTTTTACTTTCTCCGCTCGGGAAATACAGAAATTGTGATGGTTACTCGTTCATTTAAGGATATATAATTATCGCAAACTGTATTTACTTACATCTAGTCATATCAAGTTATGTCGACGTCTGAACATATCTATCAATCTATCTATCGATCTATTTATCTCATTTTGTTCATAACTATCTGTCTCATTCTGTTCATATCTACCTCTCTTAACCAATTCTGATCGTATCTCTCTCTCTCTCTCTATATATATATATATATATATATATATATATATATATATATCATTCTGGTCATATCTATCCATATCTCTGCCTAATTCTGTTCATATCTATCTATGAATCTGTTCACATTTCTCTGTCTCATTTTGTTTATATTATCTATCTATCTATCTATCTATCTATCTATCTATCTATCTATCTATCTATCTATATATATATATATATATATATATATATATATATATATCTAACGATCTATCTGTCAGTCTATCTGTCTCATTCCGTTCATATCTATTTATTTATCTGTCTTATTCTGTTCATAGTTATCTATCTATATATCTATGAATTCTCTATAACTTTAATGTGAACATACCTGTCTATTACTGTTTATACCAATCAATCGTATTCTGTTCATATCTGTCTCATTCTGTTCATTTCTGCCTTTCTAACCAAATCCGTACGTATCTATCTATCTATCTATCTATCTATCTATCTATCTATCTATATATATATCTATATATATATATATATATATATATATATATATATATATATGTATATGTGTGTCTGTGGGTGTAGCTAGCTAGATATCTTTCTGTTCATATCTATGTATCTGTCTCATTCTGTTCATATCTCTCTCTCTCTCTCTCTCTCTCTCTCTCTCTCTCTATCTATCTATCTATCTATCTATATATATATATATATATATATATATATATATATATATATATTTGTCTGCCTGTATCATTCCGTTCATATCCATTTATTTATTCATATCTGTCTTATTCTGTTCATACCTATCTATCTATAGATAAAGTCAAATTATACCGGAAGCAAACCATAAGCTATGTAAGACCTATAAAGGGACCTGGAAGGATAAACTAACCAAAACATAGTTTTATATATATATATTTATTGCGTGTCTGTGCATTTTTTATATATATATATATATATATATATATATATATATATATATATGAAACAGTTATGTATATGAATAAGTTATGTTCAGTTTGTTCATATATATATATATATATATATATATATATATATATATATACAGTTTCTTGTATATACACAGGCGCAAATGAAAACATCCAGATAGATAGATAGATAGAAACTTGCGTGGGGAGTGCCAGGAAAGTCCTCGTCTTCACGCTCTAACCAAAATCTGAATTCTGAGATTTTGTCAATGAAATAATTATTATGACAAGTTGATTGGATTGAGAAATTTATGTCTCCCAACAAAACACACATATATATATATATATATATATATATATATATATATATATATACAATATACAAATACAAATTATACGTCATGTGACAGGTTTTCAAAGAAATACTTTCATTTCAGTTATGTTAGTCCGCATTTTCCATTGTCTTGTCACTACTTCCATTTACGTCTTCGTATATACAAAAATGTCTTAAGCGTTGACTTTTAAACTGTAACCCTAAATTAATTAAGCAAATACTTAAAATATATCAACTGTATAATCTTTGTTTTAACGTCAAGAACAAATCATTTCAACAAGAACGTATAGCTACGAGCAAAAATAGAAAGAAAGAAAACTACAATAAAAAAAAAAATTAACTTAAAAACATGATATGCGGTTTCGATCCCAAAACCGTCTATGTTGAATCTGGCACCAACAGCGTCGACATCTACTACTATTTCTTAAGCTCAGAATCGATACAACAGCTACTCGCCTTCGCTTCTTTTCTACCTTTTCCTACTCAGGATACGAAGTTCGATCTCTAACAACAACGGCGACGACGGCGACGAGACCTGACGCCCGCATTCAGCTGCTGATCATTATCAGTGCAGATGTTTATAATTTCAACGTGCGTGACGTTATGCCTTTGTGAAAGTGTGTATGTGCGTATGCGTACTTGAACGCTCCCAAGTTCACTAGCGGCAGCGCGCGTTTGAATACAGAGAAAGCAAAGAGATGGAACGAAGATGAAATGTAAGATAATAGGCTGGTAAATTCACCATCGAACCGAATTCAGTGCTTCAGCGTTGTTCGAAAAAATAACGAATAAATATTTATTTTAAAAAAAAAAACTCACGTAACTGTCAACTATAATGTCTGTAATTATAAAAGATATTTATAACTTTTTTTTTGCACAAATATAACTTTTCCTCGTTGAAAGTACACAAACTCACAGACATAGGCGTGTATGTATGTGATTGTATTACTCACTGAAATCACTACACAGTTTTAATATATTAAGTCTTTATCGCCACAGTGTATACAAAAATAAAAGGTATTTTAAGGAAACTCTATATGACTTTTACTATTTCTGCTCTCAAAAATATGTTATATACGCACACACACATAGGATAGATAGATAGATAGATAGATAGATAGATAGATAGATAGATAGATAGATAGATCCTAAAGAACCAGAAACAACCTTTCTAGTTTTCACCTAAACGGATCTTACCCTGAAGATTCGTCTTGGTGAAACCTAGGTAGGTTGTTCCTGCCTCTTTAGGATTTATTCCATTTAGCCCTGCTCTACTTAGCGTATTGAGCACTCTACGTCTTAGCTTTATTACTCGCTTTGGTTTTTTTCTTCAGACTAAAAACTTAAGGCACTGGACGATTCATTTCGCCCTGTTCGGATGTTTATAGTTCTTTCTTTTTTCAATTTTTTTTCCTCGGGTACCAATTTGTTTTGATAGACTTACAAGTTGTGCTATCCGAGGTCTTTTCAAACCGAGTATTACTAGTTATATAATAGATACATAGATAGATAGATAGATAGATAGATAAGTAAAACAAAAGGTTGCAAGACATATTTTACTTTGCTTACTATTGATACTATATTTCTTAATATGTGTACTTTATCTGTCTATATTTCTGAAATGAGGTATTGTAATTATTTACACTATTGACAATTTCGTACTGTTATCCTCATCTTTGTTACCATATTCACGACGTTTCGGCCGTTGTGCGCTCCGGCTTACAGTCCGAATATTGTAAATAATTTCGTACCTTATTAAAAAAAAGAAAAAAGTCAGCTTGGCTTAAAAGCGCTATCCGTCCCAAATACACTGGTTGACTTTTTCTAATTTTTAGATGAAAACAGTTTTTGCAAGGTAGGTAGAAAAAGAGACAGACCAACAGACAGACAGTTGCCAGGCAGACAGAAAAAGAAGGATATATTATAGATAGATGTGCAAAAATCAGAATATGTATTTACATATATATGCGCTCGTAGAGCACATAGACGTGGTGTAATGGTTAACAATCTTGTTTGATTCGATCAATTACGCTTGATTAGTTAGTTTCATCCTCACTGGTTGTTCCACACTCTCCGCCTTATGCCACATCTACGCTACGCTTAGTAAACCACTATATGCTTCGAAAGTATTACTTCTTAAATTACTGTCCATGTACTCCTTGCATATCTCGGTTACCGCTATTGAATATGTTGTGTCGGAAACCTATCACCCCTCTGAAAGATGAACTTGTCTGCGTCTGTGAACAAAGACTTTAAATAGTGGCATGTCAGTTGACATGGAAGATAGATAGACAGAGAAGTTCTTAGCTGAGCTAGTTATTGACTACTCAGGCGATTTCTGTGCCTTTTTACCAACCTATTAAAACCCTTTTTATTGTTACACGTTATTTGGCTTTTGTCTCTACTAACCCCAAATCAACATCATAACAGAATATTTGCTGTATAATATTCAATCTATTGCAAATAATTTCAACTAAATTACGGTTAAATCACGTTTAAACACCAATTCTCGTATGATCACCAAAGTTAAGCAACATCAAGTCACTGCCTAGATGGATGACTGCTTGGGAATATAAGGTGCTGTAAACTTGCATGTGCGGGTGGTGTAATGATAACGGCCCGATCGGACTATATACAGGCGCATCCCTAAAGCATTCGATGGCCAGAGATTGGCGACTAATCTCTCTTCCGATCTTACACAAATAACCCAATGGGGTAAAAACTAGCTGGTTCCACTCAATGGCACGAAGATCAACTGATACATTCCATCATCGCTGATCTGACCTCGAAGTATCACCAATCAGGATGAACGGAGGTCCTTTCGGGGAAGCACCGTGCCTTGAAGGACTGTTGAGCCTCAAATCCACACCCAACCTAAAGTGAAAAACGTACATATGATCCATTGCAAAGGATGCAGGTAAAATGGTCGACTCTATGTACAGCTCTAATAAGCACCTGACTCTTCCTGCTATCGTCTAACATTGCAAGAGAGAGATCAGGCCAAAAATGGTGTAAGCTTGTCATATTTGGCACAGAGCTTCCCTGGCTTCACTCTCCAGCCTTGATAGAGTTAAGAAGCGTCTCCGAACATTTGTGGGTGATGAATTATTCCCCACAGGTGCGATGTTGCAAGCCTCTCGCTGCTCTACCGTATCTTCCATAGAAAGCGCGTAGACAAAGTACTATTATCTGGTCTCCCCGAAGCAAACCTCTCAGAAATAACCAGTCATGCCACTTACATAGTAGCAAACCACCTACATTTACCCTGTAATTTATCTGCGAGAAGTGTTTATCCACTCGAGCAGCATTTTCCCGCCAGCCACTGCTCTGTGGAACCGACACCTAATCTTAACCTGTTCCACTCCTATACACACAAACGTAACCCTCTATCGTGAGTGGCTCCTGGGCTTTGTAAAGGTGAATCTAGCTGTAAAAAAAATATTTATCGGATTTCAGTTGTGTTCGTTATATTCTCTTACGCAAAAATAACCTTGGGAAATGTATGAATTCACCTCTTCTCACTCTAGCTATGGGTTAATTAGTAAGAATTTTATCATTAAAACCATTATCTGCAAAAGGAAAAATAAAACAAACTTTCACACAAAATTTAGATTTTTGGCATTAAATAAACCTATAGATTTTAGTATGCTGTTAAACAAAAACAACCGACCAATCAACCATGAATTAAGTGCATTAACAAGGAAGAATTTCATATTCAAAAATACATATTAGTTGTGTAAAATAAATGCTATTAATTCTTTAAGCTGCGGATTACATATGCACCAAATTAAACAAACACACACACGACATATGCAAACGGGAAATACATAATAAAAATAAAGTAAAAACAGTTGTCGCTCTGTTTTAATAAAAATAAAACTGTCTCTCTTTTTCCCTCCCTCCTTCTGATTCTCTCTCTCTCTCTCTCTCTGTATATATATATATATATATATATATATATATATATATATATATAGGGCTGCAAATGTAGATATACAGCACGTATTATTCAACTATTACGAGTATTAGAATAGTGGTTCTAGGATTTATTTAATACTAGAATTAATTTCATTACTGTATACCTACTTTTGCATCCCTGTATATACTGTCAAGGCATTATTTACTGAATCAGTGTCTATGTACACTTCGCATATCTAGGTTAGCGCTATTGTAATGTAATCTTATTATAATCAACACATGCCTTAATTTCATTTGCGACGCAGCTTCGCTTTTTTCTTTTCTTCTTATTTCGCTTTTATTTTGCTAAATTTTAGATCCGTAATTCTTCCTTTGGGAATGCTTGCCTTATCGTCTTAGCAACTGGAAAAGGAGAGAAAAATAACGAAATGATCCAATCCTCAACCAATCATGCACGTGCCATTGAACATTATTCGGTGTTTCTGATATAGCTTGTTTTTTGTTGTTGTTTTTTTTGTTTTTGTTTTTTTAAGCCAATTAAACATGATTTATTCCTTAGGTTCTTTCAAGTTTTAATTGTGTTCTTCAAAGTTTAAAAAAATTTTTTTTTTCTTTTTTTGGAACACAAAATCTTGACTAAACTTAAATCTGTAGGCACTTGTTTTCAAGCAGAAAATCAATCCTGTTCTTTTTTGCGAAACGAGATAGATCTGTGTGTAGAAACTTATACATGTGCAAGCCGGACTGTTGCAGTATTATACCTCGTCTCTATTTTTCTTGCTTTTTTATGCATCTTATACTGATGACACATTACACTATCAATAGAATTCGATACAGAAAAAATCCAGGTTCATGCCTCAGGATGCAAAGACGTGCGATTACAAAAATGGGAACATGCACAGTCTCAGAACATATTACTTTTGCCGATTTGATTCGTACCACCACACACACTTATACGAATTATATATCATGGAGAGAAGTTGGACACGTGTTGCCTGTACCAAGTTTCGTGGTGAAGAGACTAAAGTTTTTTGGCGGGACTTCCGTATTTCCGGCAGGAACAGTTTTTGCTGCATGCTAGAATAGTTTTGTTATTTTAATTTTTTATTTAATTTATTTTAAACAAATTTAAATGCTCTTGTTTTATTTTTATAATTTTTATTAATATTATTATTATTTTATATTTTATTCTTATTTAATTATAATAATGTTGTATGGCGAACGAAAAGTTTTTCTTCCTCCGTATGAGTTTGAATCCTAGTCGCCAAGTGTTGTAGAGTGGTTTCACAGTGGAGGCTTGTATTTGTACTAAGTCGGTCCTAAAATAGGTTCGACGTACTAAACGTTAGGAACTTGATATAATAGGTAATGACGCAGTAATCTAATTGTTGTGGCGGATACTTTAATATCCGACTAACGGTCGTCCGACATCGACTCACTGACCAACTCACTGAGCGACTCCTACTTATTATAGGTGGGAGTGTCCATTAACAATAGAATAGGTGTGTTCCACTATAACAAATAATAACGTCCCTAGAGTTTCTTTTGTCTAGGTTTTCAGATAACGCGTTTATGTATCTTGATACTATTTATTGTAAGAATCACTGAAAAACCATTTGAGTTATTTAACTAGAAAGAGAACGGCCCCACCATTCTTTCTTAAATGAGAAAGGTTAAGAAGAAGAAGATCATTCAGGCCTTGCAATAATGATACCAACATTCATACTCTGGCTTCCATCTTCAAAGTTTATTCGAAAACCATCAATAGAACGTTGAATAATTTTTAAAAAGAGGGAACAATAGAGAGGAAAACTGGATTAGGTGGTCACAACAGGAAGAGGAATCATCATTTCAACTTAAATAGGTAAAAAGCTAAAAAGATCAATTAGAAAAATTAAAGCTAAAACGATTAATTAGAAAATATCCAACTTAATTTATAATACGTTTGTCACCTGATAGAGGATTTTCAGCTATGATAGTCCAAGGAGCATAGAAATATACTTGAAATATTACGTTAAACCTGTAAGGCAGCTGGTTACTCCACGAAAGAAAGTTAATTGGTTAGAGAGGGCGAAGATCATGTTGAGTAATTTGGGAAATGATCCTGGAATAATCTTCTACACAGATGAGAAGAATTTTACACAGGGTGCGTACAGAAACAGACGCAGTGGTCATATTCTGGCTTCAGATCTTCACGAGAGAAACAAGAATGTCACTTTCAAGTGCAAAAACTTTGCCAAGACCAATGGTTTTTGCCTGGGTGTCTTCTGATGGCAAGAATATGACATTGATCATGTTTGAAAAGGATGAAAGACTGACAGAAGTTCGCTATGTTGAAATTTTGTAAAAGGTAAAACCCTGGATTCTTTCTGAATTTCCTGAGGCTAGAGACAATCATAACCCCAATAAGATCAATAAGGCACTCAAATGTACATTCCCGGAGAATGAAGCTCTTTGTCACACGGGAGCAGTGGCTCAAAAAAAGTTTCAGGGATGAGTTCGCGAACAGGTTTAGGGATAAGGAAACTTGGCCTCCTTCATCGCCTAATTTGAACACCTTAGACTTCAGCATTTGGAATGAACTGGCGGGAAATGTTTGAGAGATACCCCACAGTAATCTGCAGGCCCTGAAAAA